ACCAACCACTAACACACATGATGACATAACCCAGAAACCAACCCAGCTATGGAAGTATCCAAAGTAAGTAAGGCTACAAGATTGTAAACAGGGAACCGGAGACATCAATTGACAAATGAGAACAACTACAAACCAAAAAGAGGGAAAAAAAATTTGTAGTTACAGAACCTCTAAATGGTAGGGAAGTCAAGACAACTACAAGGTAGAATGGACTATTCTAAACTTGGGAAGAAAACTGTAAATCACAGGGTAACCTCAAAGAAAAATTATAAACCTTCACATCACGATAAAAGAGATGACCAGCACAAATACTTAGCAAGTACTAAAACAATAGCAACAAAGGAAGTGAAAACACGATTCATAAACAAAACGAGCTCAGCACAGCACAGAAGATTATATGGAACAACGAAATCAAGAACACAAACAAAATGACAGCAACAAATTCAAACTTGTCGATAATTACATATCTGACAAGGGGCTTCTCTCTAATATTTATAGAAAACTCCAACACCTCGACAACAAAAAGATACCAATCCAATTGAAAAACAGGCAAAAGATATAAATAGACACTTCAGCAAAGAGGGTATTGAGGCAGCCACCAAATACATGAAGAAATGCTCATGATCATTAGCCATCAGAGAAATGCAAATCAAAACAACAATGAGATACAATCTCACCCCAGCACTAATGGCAAAGTTCAACAAGACAGAAAACAAGTGCTGGTGAGGATGTGGAGAGATTGAGACTCTCATACACTGCTGATGGGACTGTAAAATGATACAACCATTGTGGAAAACAGTTTCCAACTCTGCTTGTCAAGAGATTTGGTTGCTATGCCATACTATGGCAATTCCTTAAGAAGCTGGAATTAGAAATACCATTTGACCCAGCAATCCCATTACTAGGTATATATCCTAAAGAAGTGAAAGCCAGGACTGGAACAGATATGTGCATACCCATGTTTATCGCAGCACTATATACAGTAGCAAAAAGACGGAAACAACTGATGTGCCCATCAACAGAAGAATGGATACCCAAACTATGGTACATACACACAATGGAATACTATACAACACTAAAGAATAATGTAGACTCTGCAGAACACTACATAACATCAGTGAAGTTGGACGGCACTATGCTAAGTGAAATAAGTCAATCACAGAAGG